AGGAGTAGAGAGTATGTACTCGTTCGTCGTTTCGTTTCGTTTCCGTCGTAGTTGGTTAGAGTGGAGGGGAGGAGGAGGGGAGGGGGGGGGAGTGGTGGGGAGGCACGGGGAGAGGGGAGGGAGGGATGATCTCACTTGTCTTTGTTTCCTCATGTTTACATTCTTTTCTCCAGGAAATGGATTATTTGAAGATGGCAGTTGCAAAAATAGATGCTCATCAACCTAATGTTCTTTTAGTCGAAAAATCAGTTTCTCGCTTTGCCCAAGAATATTTGTTGGCCAAAGATATATCACTGGTATTGAACATTAAGAAGCCACTCCAAGAGCGCATAGCCAGGTGCACTGGTGCACAGATTGTCCCTTCTATTGATCATTTATCATCTCAGAAGTTGGGTCACTGTGAGGTGTTCCATGTGGACAAGTTTATTGAAGAGCATGGCAGTGCTGGTCAGGCTGGGAAAAAATTGCTAAAGACCTTGATGTTTTTCGAAGGCTGCCCAAAGCCTTTGGGTTGCACTGTGAGTCTCTCTATGAAGCCTTCTCCTCTGCTCTTTACATTTTGCATTATCTTTGCCACCTGAATATTGGATTTTCCTTATTGATTTTTTGTTGGGTGTATGTATCTATATTATATATCTCTGTCTGATGGAAAGGCTCAATGCATACAGTTCCTTGAAAATGGTTCTTAAATTCATCCCTCCCATTTACGCATATTAACATGTTTCAAACTTACTTCTCGAAAAGTTTCGTGATTAATGAGAACATGTGTATTGCATGCATATATGTTCTAATTGCCTCAATTCAATGTTTAGAAAAAGTACAGGCGGGCGCATAGGCTTTTTTGGGGTCTGGCTGCCTAGGCACCCGCCTAGGAACATGGACCCCCCCCTTTCCCCAAACAAAAAGGACAAAGGAGTACTTAGGGCAGGGTTTTATGCCTTGGGGAGTTTATAGGGCACTTTTAGAGCCCCAAACTCTTCATGAAAAAGAGGAAACATAATATTGTACTAAAAAAAACAAAAAATGAAACAAAAATACATAATATGAAATGATGAGTATATGATATCAATCTAAAAAAATAATCATATGTAACTTACCTATAAGAATTAAGATATAAGTATATAACCTAATTATTAATTTATCAAATAAAACAAAACAAAAATAATAGGATATCAAAACATGACACATTGTATAAAAAAGGAATCAATTATTTATAAAAGAATTCGATATAGGCCTAATTTCATCATTCAAATGAGGACAAAATCAATTATTCGCAAAACAATTCAATATTTCAACTACAAACATGTAAATATATCATAAAAGGAAAAATAAGTAAAAAAAAAAAAAAAACAAATGATTCACAACATAATACGTTATAGTGAAAAAAAAAATCAAAACCCTTGTTCAAATATGATAATGCTCTATAAATATCAAAATCAAAATGATGACGGCCCAAACCTTATCTTACTGGGTCTCCAAAAGTCCTCAAAATCAATCACTAAAAGCCTTTGATTTCAGAAGAAATCGAAAAAATTGTGCCTTATGAACAGGTGACTCCCTTGACCAAAATAATATATTAGCATATCCATTTTGTTGAAAACAGTGAACTCATGCATTTAAATGCAGTTGCAATGTAGCTATAATCAATTAACGAGAAAGAAAAACAAAATGTCACTTATGTACCATCGTACTGGTCCTTTCAGGTTCTGCTCAAGGGTGCTAATGGTGATGAATTGAAGAAAATCAAACATGTTGTTCAGTATGGAATCTTTGCTGCATACCACTTAGCCCTTGAGACTTCTTTCCTTGCAGATGAGGGCGCCTCCCTTCCTGAGCTCCCCCTCAAGTCCCCAATAACTGTTGCCTTGCCAGATAAGCCCACCAATGTAGACAGATCGATCTCTACAGTACCTGGTTTTATGCTTCCTGGGCCAGGAACGCCACAATCAGATCATGAAACAAGGAGGAGCCCTTGTATTGATCAATCTTCGAAGTTTTCTCCTTATCCAAAAAATGGGTTTGATGCCTCCTTTAATGGGCCTATTCATAACTTCAATAATCATTCTTACTCAAATATGCCTCAGAAGCACTTCCCTACAGAAAATTTTCAGACCCAACATCTTTCACAACCAGTCCCGAAGAGTCGGTTCTCTTCCTCATCTGTGTCGGGTCAATTGGTTTCCTGCATGAATGATAACCTTTCCCATTATGACCCATATGGGGAAAAGGCTAACCTGGACTTTGAAGAACCTTCTGATCATGAAAGCCTTCCTAGCACAAATCACCCTGTTCTTTCCAATGGGCACAAGGATTTTGAGGCTTTAGATGGGTCGATTAGGTCAAATGAGATGCAATTGGAAGGAAATAAGATGGGATCCTTGCATCAGAGGAATAGTTTTCCTAATGAACATGGGTCATCGAAAGAAGAGTTTCCCCCTTCGCCTTCGGACCATCAGAGCATTCTGGTTTCTCTCTCAACAAGGTGTGTGTGGAAAGGGACTGTGTGTGAACGTGCCCATCTTTTTCGCATCAAGTATTATGGCAGTTTTGACAAGCCTGTGGGTCGGTTCTTGCGTGATGACCTGTTTGACCAGGTGTGTTACACATTTCATTGTCATGAGAGAGAGAGAGAGAGAGAGAGAGAGAGAGAGAGAG